TTTATACACATACAAGTATGTATTCAGTTTGCCTGTATAAGCATAAGGAAACTCTAAAAAGATACACAAAAAAACTAATAAAAACAATTATCTATATTTTGGGGAAGAAAGAAAACTCAGATGATATGTAACAGAATAAGATGTAAGAATGCAAAGTAATGAAAATATTTAATGATGTTCCCTTCTACTGATATTATACATGATTCTGAATGAGGCAGAGTTTTAAAATTAATTATCAAAACATAAAATTCATGAAACAAAAGTTACTTTCTCTCATTTACCTTTACATGGATAAAGAATATAACGGAGATTGTTTAAGCAAAGTTAGGTGGCTGATTATTACTTTAACGACTGCCTGCTTTCACAATACTTACTGAAATTGATTCTCTCTATTCATTTAATATATTCTATCCAAATAAACTATCCCAGTATTAGCCATTGTTTCCTTTTGAAGAATTACCCGTGCGAACCTTTATTTGCAAAGCACATTTTAAAAAGCCAATATTTAGGAATAGATGCAATAATCTTTTGTTTAAAAAATTTAAAACTCATGAGATGTAGGTATTTCCAATTAATTCTTTTTTTTTTGAGATGTTAACTTTTCCAAGTTAATTCTTTTTTTTTTTTTGAGATGGAGTCTCACTCTGTTGTCCAGGCTGGGGTACAGAGGGACGATCTTGGCTCACTGCAACCTCCACCTTCTGGGTTGAAGTGATTCTCCTGCTTCAGCCCCTTGAGAAGATGAAATTACAGGCACTCACCACTACTCCCAGCTAACTTTTGTATTTTTAGTAGAGATGGGGTTTCACCATGTTGGCCAAGCTGGTCTCAAACTCCTGACCTTAAGTGATCCATCTGCCTTGGCCTCCCAAAATGCTGGGATTACAGGCATGAGCCACTGTGCCAGGCCAGTAAATTCTTTCAAGCCAGCAATGGTGTGTTAAAAAAGAAAATTCCATCTACAAATAACAAAAGAAAGACAATGGTTCAAAGTATTTCTGTGCTTAGTTTATCACTATAGGTCCATTAAAACAAGAGCAACAAATGGTTGTCAATGTATAACTTTAACAAATCCGGAGGGTTACCCCATCTAGAGATACCTAAAGTTATTCGCAGTTCCTGGAGAATTCCTTTTGAAGCATAAGCATAGCAAAGGCACAGTGAAATCTAAGTTTGGTTCTCCATTATAGCTGTGGTCCTAATGAATTGTGGGCCCATCTGAATTAATTATCTTCCAACAAGAGAAATAATAATCAAAGAATTTAAACCACTGATACAGTTCCCTTACTGAGATCCCATTAATATTACTGGGATCATATTTCCAATTAGAGTGTAATAGCATCTAATGTACTTTAAGTGCATAGATCACAGTTTTATTCTTTTGTTTTCATTTTACAGTTAATCCTATATAGCAGATATTAAGGAGGCACTAAGCACTCTTTTCTAACAAACTACCCATTTCTTTTATTTAAGTATTCAGCATTCAGTTAGCAAACCACCACTTTCTTTGGCTTCTAACTTACTGATTTCTTGGTTTAAAATCCAGGGGGTCAGTATGGAACAAATGGATTTAGTAGCTCTTGAATATCTCTACACTGTAAACTTACTATTGCTAACTTTTATTTCTTCAGAAGCAATATCCAAGTCCTAGGAATTCCGACCCTGCTCATTATTGTTACCTCCCAAACTAGTGAAGTGTGATTCAGAATATAATAACATCATATTTTCTTTCCTCCTTCTCTTTCTCTTTTTAGAGGATATATGACAGAATATTTTCAGCCTTCTAGCTTTCAAAAGATACAATTATCAAAGAGTCTGTCCTCCTCTGCTTTAATAAACGTAGAACATTCAACACATTTGGTATATAAAGAGTAACTGGGTACATCTGAAACATTCTGTGCTCTTGATTCTGTTTCCTAAAGGCACACATACAAAGAGAAATCACATAAACTATATAACCAACCCAGTTGAGTAGATTTAATTTCCTTTTCCTATTTGGTCTACATGCACCACCTGGTGGTAAAGTAGTGCATTTCAAGTACACACACACACACACACACACACACACACACACACACACACACACAGAGAGGTGTGTGTGTGTGAGAGAGAGAGACAGAGAGAGAGAGAGAGAGAGAGAGAGAGAGAAGGGGTATATAAAATGAAAAAGATATTTTAATATACTTCCTCAATACTGATTTAGACAGACAACACAATTATTCTACAAGCACTACCTCATACATACTAGAACAAGAAGTAAAGGAGAGAACTCATGCTGGAAAGTAAAATAGCTTTCTTTTATTTACCTTAGCAATTCCATCTCTAAATTAACATGTACATTCCAATGTTCTTATGAAGGCAAAAATCAAACATTGATAACCAAAGTGAAACCATTTCCTCATTTTTAATTTTTAAGAATAATAGTTTTTTAAAGTAGGTGTTTTTTAAATATTAAATATTATATTTAAATATTTAAATATAATATTCTTATATTAATAGTGAGTAAAAGTCACAGATCACAGAATTATAAAACTATGAAGCATCATAGAGTCATTAGACTAATACACCAATTTTTTACAAATGTAGCAGCTGAGACTCTGGAACAACAACTCAGGTAAGAACCTAGATCTTCTCACTTTCAGCCTAGGAATATGACATAAAAATTGTACTCATATTCATATTCAGTGAATTGTCTTTGTATGATGTGGTAATACTTAACTTATCTACACAGTGCTTTAAGGCACTCATATGTTAGTTAATACATATTAGTTTTGTTCTAACATTCTGAGCACAAAGAAGTAACTGAAGAAATGCATGCATCATAATAAAGCTATGGAAAAGATTTTCCAAGTATCAAAAAAACCCTATATATATGTTCAAAGGAATAATTTTCAAAGTATAATACAACTGCTATATTGCAGAGAAGGTTTAAAAAATTCCCTTTCTCCTTCTAACTCCTTCATACTAGAGATCTGTTTCTACAAAGTAGGTACCCACTTGTAGATTTAAGCATAAGCATGTTCATAGCTCCCTCTCATGACCATTCAGTATTATACAAGCCTCCTTTTATTCTCGCTTTGTATTCAACAGCTCACTGGCTAAGTTTTAATTGCTTCCAATGAGGTCAGCAAAGGTATTTATCGAAAAGCCCTGAATAAAAGACTCCACACACATACACATACACACACACAAGCACACACGCATTCACACACAGAGAGAAAATCCTCCTGCCTGTTGATTTATGGAAACAATTATGATTCTTCTGGAGAATTTTTCAGCTGAGAAATAGTTTGTAGCTACAATAGAAAGGCTCAAGTTGCATAAGGCAGACAACAGACATGGAATTCTTATATATCCAGCTGTTATCAACAAAACAAGTAAGTTACTGTTATTTGTCTTTAAAAACAATGCTAAATGTTTTCTAAAAGTTTGTCTCTTTCTCTGATTTTAGTACTGAGCAGGAAAGTAAAGTTACAAGATTTTTGAGCCATGTAAATATCTATAGTAATTATGCTGTAGAACATAAAGATAAGATTGAAGTTCTCCAGAGCAATCTTGACATTTAACTTGAAAAACCTGGGCAGTTCAGGAGAAAATAATTGATTAACCACAAATGTAAAAGCATATAATAAAGAAGTCTAGGGAGAAAGCACTTATACTTTGTTAGTAGTAATTATAAAAGCTTAATTAAAAAAATAGTTCTAAGTGCAGTATGTTTCTCACAAAATAGCAATTGGAATGAATGGTACAGTCATACTGTTTTATCTTTACTTATGCATAAATTTTATAAATCTACACATAAAGTGGTAAAGATTTTGACATCCTCTGGGAAGCCTGTTTTAAATGTATCTTCAAAGTATAACCTATACTGTATATTATACTACTTCTCACCCACTAAAATTTATACGTACAATTTTTTATCTTCCTCTCTCCTCCCCTCCCTATTCTTAATCTCTCATTGCAAACAGAAGTCAAGTAGCAAACAGCGTCACAGCCACTGAACTGACTACGAACTGTTTTTATAAGAATATATCAACAGAGTTATTAAGGAAGAATCCTGTATAGTTATCAGTAACTAAAAGGATAAGGCTAACAATTTGGAAAGAGCAACTACTTTTTCTTAAATCAATCTACAATTCATAGATAGGAAGAGGTCAATGACCTAGGAGTAACAATCAACTCAAGATTTAATTTTCATTATGTTATTCATGAACACCCGGAGCACTACACTATAATGCACAAATGGATACTGACATGGATCCTGCCAACTTTGCTCTACAGATCATGCTTTCACATTATCTGTCTAGTGGGTACTATATCTTTAGCTTGCAATGACATGACTCCAGAGCAAATGGCTACAAATGTGAACTGTTCCAGCCCTGAGCGACACACAAGAAGTTATGATTACATGGAAGGAGGGGATATAAGAGTGAGAAGACTCTTCTGTCGAACACAGTGGTATCTGAGGATTGATAAAAGAGGCAAAGTAAAAGGGACCCAAGAGATGAAGAACAATTACAGTAAGTAATTTTATTTTAAGTACTGCTTATGACCTTGGTAATCTGTTAATGGATCAATCTTCAGGTGATGTGTTTTCTCAGCTTTTTTTTTACTTCTTGTAAAAAAAATTAAATAAAATGTCATCTAATTTCTCTAAATTGAACTAAGCTTCTAAAAATATCTCTTGGAACAGGGCAAATCTACTTATATTATAGTTGGACCTGATAATCCAGGCCAATTTGAAAACATATACTCCTTGTACTCAAAATGCTCATAAGTTAAGCAAAATGTAAATAATATTATTCACACCAAAATGTGACTTAATACTGTCTAGCAAAACTCATTAGAAGGTCTAATTTAGAACTTTATAAATTATCACTAAAAGCTACTTATCACTAAAGAGTAGGAAATTTATTTTTATTAATTTGATTTTCTTTGGAATAATATTTTCATGATGTAAAATAGTTAATGTGTGCTAAGAAATGCATTCTTTGCAATTGCATATAATGACAAAATAGAACGGAATCTGTGGTACCCCTATTCATTTAAGTTGTAATGAATTTGTATTATAGATTAATTATCAGCTTAGGCAGAAGCAGATTCCTCCTAACATTTTCTTTAGTGAAATCTTCTATGACATAAAAGTTCTATGTTACCTTAAGAAAAATGTAAATGTGAGGGAGGAAAAAAAGTGAGCTGAAAGAGATGTTAATTCCATGAGTTTCAATTTAAAAGCCTTATATTTTTCCCAGGAATCAGTTGTTCTTATGTTGAAATATCAGGGTTGTGTTTTTCATTTAATGATTATGATTAATAACCAACTTCAGTAGTATTAAATTTAATGGAATAAAATACATATCTCAACACATAAATTAAGAATTTAAAATGCTTAGCAAAAATAAATTTTGTTTACATTACTAGAACTCAGACAACATTGTTATTAATATATCATTTTATATTAATTGTGTTAAAGTCATTTGAAGAAGAATGCATTGGGATACTGGTGTAAACGTGCAAATCACAGTGCTAGGCTTGCAGCAATTACTTCAAACTTTTGATGCCTGTTTACTGAATGACTTTTAGGGTTCCACACTAATCAACCAATAAATGGGAATTTCAGAGAATTATGTTTCCAATATGAAAATGAGAGGACCTTCTTTTTAACCATAATTGATATAGAATGTTAAGGCCATTTTAATGAATTGACAGCTATGATTTTATTATTATTATTCATCATTATTACTGAGATTCATAAAGGTATCATGTTAGTCCTGGAAAATCATTCTGATTATACTAAAGTTTATCTAAGGAATGACTATTTGGAGAAATTTTTTTTGATATCTACTTCTATATGAGCAACAGAATTTGGCCTATAATCAATTTATTTAAAAGTTACGCAGATTTATCATGGATAATAAAACCTGGTGGAGAGGACAGAGCCCAGGTAAAAATTATGACACATGGGTCAAATTCCTGTCGGTGAATGATTTGCGGACAATTTCTTAGTTTTTCTGACACTGAATTTTTTTCATCCGTAAAATACGGGATAGGTACAGATGATTTCCAAGATACATTCCAGTTCTTATATTCTATTTTAAACCACAGAATATATTTCATAAATATAAAGAAAACTAAATAGCCATTGTATAATTATCTCAAGCAATGAATGAGATGAAAGTGGTAGGATGAATCATTACAACTAATTTCAAATTGTAGTAACAAGGTTACCAAACCCAAGCACTGTGGGATTCTACATTCTGACTAGTTCCTTTTCAATTCTTTTACCAAGTAATGAAAAAATAAAAAAGTAGATGTAAAAGCCAGTGAAACTGAATGGTATGTATAATTATTTAGGATCAACAATATCTCCAATTGGAGTTCATTCATATATGTAAATTTTATTTTGTTTGTATTAAGATTTCTTGAAACAATGAAACTCAAGTAGTAGACATACATAAAATGCTAAAATTATTTTATAGTTTGAAACACAATTTAGTGCTAACTTTGAGTAACACTAAAGCCAATTTTGTAAACCATCTCCTCTAACACTAATTCCATAGGACAGCAGAACAAAAGAAAGAAAGTTGCCCTATGTTGTTATAAATTAGGATGTCATAATACCAATGTACTAAAAAGACAAGATATACAATGTGTAAATAATTTTCACTTCTATAAGCTTTTCTATAGGCTATATATATAATATACTTCCTTAATACTGTGAATTATCCTGGAAAGAGAAACTTTCATCAGAATCCTTTAAGCAAACTCTAAAATTATTGTCAAGTTTTGTGGCTATCTTACTGAAGAAGAAGTCAGTAAGATTCCTCGAAAGTTAAAAAGAGTATAAGGCACTTTTTATTTTTCTATAGGCAGTCCTTAGGTACAGAGGGAAATGCTACAGTGAAGAATATACAGAAAATAACATGTTAGAAGAAAATTCTGATAGTCATTTCCTATTATTTGAAGGGTAGCCTTACAATAATAATTTTAAGAATGAATGCTCATAACTAAATGTGCTAAGTGACATGTGAAGTTGAAGCTGCTATATTAGGAGATCCAGGTACAAAGAAAATGCTCAGAATTTGTTTAAAATAACAAGAATAGAAGCTTAAAATTATAAAAATGAAAGATTGTTTACATTCATCAATCATTGAATGAATGAACAAATAAATGAACAAAAGAATGTTTCCTTCCTATTTTCATTAAAATGAGAGTAAAATGTAACTGGATTGCCTACTAGAATGAAATGCAGCAGGATTCAGAAAGTCGTGAAGATCAGAATCAAACTTAGAATTTCATTTTCAATGTTTTGATGCCTTAAATTTTTTCAACAGGTTGTTAATCACCTTTCTTTGAAGGTCTTTTAAGTTGGTATAGATTTTAATGTCGTGGAAAATAAAGTTTTACATGAAAAATAAGACGTCAGCTATGGAAAATATAATTGTTCTTTTGATTACCATAAGAAAGTCTCCAATCTTTTCTCATGACTGTTTTTTGAATGAAAGAGAACTGACCTGAGAATGTCAATCAATAGGTTTCAGAAGACTATTCACTTCACTAGCAGAAGCACAGCTTTCACACAAGAATGTGGTATTTAACTAGGAAATATGGATTGGAGCTAGCAGGAGAAGTAAAATATACAGATGTATAATTCTGCTTTTAGAACGTTTTGGGCTGGGGCAAATGGATGGAGGGCATGGAAAAATAAAAGGGAGTGATGGGGAAGTGGATGTGACTGTTCATTTCTCATAGCTTTAGAGAATTTTTAAAAATTACTTACGGTATCCTGGATTGTGAAGTTGTTACTTCCTTTAGTCCCATCTTAATTGCTGTGTTTTTTTTGTGAAAAATTTTAGATTAGAATGAATACATTGCAGGAAGAGTACACCAAGGAACCCAATGGAAATAAGACTTGTATCAGTAGACATATAAACAAGAACTATGAAGATGGGGGAATTCATGAGAGGCCAAGCAATACTGGACCACATTTCTAACTCTAGAGGGGACAGAAGTTGTTACTAGAGAACTGGTCACAAGGATTGTGTACTACTGTTACCCAGGAGGTAGAAAGTCTCTCCTCTTTACTTGGGTCTCTGGTGGCTTCACATTTAGCCTAACAGTAGGTTTCCAGGTGATGAACTGGTACCTAATCTTAACAAACATAATAATAATAAAAGAATAAAATGTCCCTCCAAAGTGCACATTCAAAATGCAGTAAATATTTATTTTCTCTGTGGAAGAAGAGCATTGAGAACGTCATAAAAGGACGAAATGAATGGTCAGTACTTCCCCTTTGTTGTCAGACCTCTCCCTGTGGGGACAAGACCAGAGGGTGAATTTAGGTAACTGTTGAACTAGGCAGTCCAACAGCAGACAGAGACTATCATTCTGCACCTAGCAGAAATAACACTGCTGTTTAAGCTGAGTATTGAGGTGCCGAGTGAGAGATAGCAGCAGTGCACTGGGCACTGAGTGACTGCCTTGGGAAACAGATGTGGAAGACAAAACCTAATCCCTTAGGATAATTTCTTGCTTTTGGAATCCAATTGCTAAAAAGTTGTGCTCTTCCCAATAATAGTCAATATCATCTACTCCTTTAAAGAAGAACTCCTTGTCGTAAATTGCCTCACTTGGTTATAATTAAGCATTGTTACTTCCATAGCTAGAAAAGGATTAGTCATTCTGAAAACTGGCCAATGATTTGGCAATATTCTCTTTTGGACTGTTAGACTGTGATGGGATATGGCCTAACGATTGGCAAAAAGCAAATAAACACAGCGTTGCTGAATTTGACTTTGGACACAAAAGCTTCAGCGACTCATTTGTCAACAATTCTTTGGATAGGCTCCTACTTAACAATACTGTCTGTTAGAAGCTAGCAAATACACACATCGCCTCTGAATATGGAGATGGTAAATTTGCTTATATTCTAAACAGTTCTTAGCAAGTTATCTAAAAAACAGTAATTCACATTATCAGAATAAAAAATAACAATGTAAGGACAATCCCTGCCTGTAAAAAATAGATAATAAGGAACATATCTATGGAGTTGAACCAAAATCCTAGAAATTTTAGACAAGGTAGAATCTTGTAGAACTGGCGACCTGCATTCCCTTAAGTAACTTGTTAGGGCTTTAAATTATGGAGAATAGATAAATTGCTGGGGAGCAGATTTGGAAATATTAGCTTTCTTTAATTAGTTTTTAATTTTATAATTTTTTTTCCTGGCCATCACATGTGCCTGGCACTTATGAAGTGCCAGTAAGTTCATTCATTGCCATGAATGCATATTTTATCATCTCTTATCTCTTTTGTAAATCCTCATCTAGACTGACCCTATGACTTAGCTGTACAAAAACTCTTTAGCCTATAGTTTTAGATCATTCAGAGACTCAACTGAATTACAGAGAATGCAAGAAGTCAGCTCTTAGATATTGAAGAAGTTGCCTTTTCTAGATTTTTTCATTTCTCAACCTTGGCTAAATATTACAGTCAGCTGGGGAACTTTAAAAAAAAACCT